GGGGCTTCCAAGGCCGAGGTGAACCGGGTGGCTCGTCTTTAGTTGTACCCCCCAAAGTGGCTCCGGCTTTTTGCTTTGTTGGCTTCCCTTTGAAACCACCAAAAAGTATCTCCCTAAAAAAAGACAGACCCAAATTGACTAGAAGAATGGCGAGACCGAATTTCAAGTTGGAGACTCACCATTCTCGCCAAATAGCCCTCAAGTTTCGAAGTTGAGGCAACATGTCAATGTGTCTACCATCCAAGATCCGCGCCATTGGGAAAAAAGGATCCGAGAACCAAACCTCTTCAGTGCGCCGAGCGCCGCGCCTCCCGCTCGTCGGCCGCCAGCTCCGCCCATGCCTGGTGCCTCGCTGTGCATTTCTGATGGATCCAGCGCGATCTCGCAGCTGGCAAAAATGAGGAAGTGATCCCTTGCCGCAAAAGTGATCCATTGCTTATGGATTTCCAGGAGCCGGAAGAAGGAAAAGGGCAGAAATCCGTTGATCCAAGTTGCATTGCCCGAAATGAATGCTGCCCCAAAGGCATGAGGGAACCAAATGAAGCCCTTCCGGAGTGCACGCACGAGTGGATGTGCAGATGCATACTTCTATGAATCCATGTCATATGGATGTGTGAACGAGCATGCGGCAACCTACTGCGATGCAATGTAGTGCATGCTAGTTGGTAGTAAAATGCCCCATGTATGATGTAAGCAATGCATGTAAGTCATGCATATGAGAGTTGCAGGTACGAAAGGACGTGAGCATGCCTTCTTGCCTCCCAGCCCTCACACAGGCACAAGCAGTGCAAAGGTCTCTCCTCAATGCCGAGGACATCAACAAGTTTGTAGATAGCTTCCCGTATGCATGACGCGCACAGACACGCACTACATCCAGGGCAAGGTCATAACACTACATTGACTACATGCATCACATACAGTACATCCACCTCAGAGACTACAAATTCTGCAACTTGCAACAAATAGACTGAGCACTTTACGTCTGTTGCCCAGTAGCCCCTGTCTCATACCTCATGCTATGTCTGAAACCCCAAACAAGGAAGATGAATGATCGAGTGAATGATATTCCCACCCAAGCGCATGGCATAGTACGTGTCCGACTTAAACTACATGCATTGCGTTGATAACTGCCCACTCTACGCATAACATGCATTGTTACACACGCATATACAGCACAGTACGCAAGGTCGGCAATTGGCACCCTGGTGGGCTAGTGAGTCGTTGAATTACACGACTGCTTGATAAACGCAATACAATTTTGCTCACAGCATGCTTAGAGTGGACGGACTGCAGTAAGTCGCACATCTCCTGCTCCAAATATGTCTTGTATTGAGGGGCTGAAAATGGTCTAGTCAATTGAGAACAGTCAACCGGAAATGAATGCAACATGAAACTAGGTGTTGGTTTTGCTTCTGCCTTGACCTCTGTCCGGCTGCCCCTTTCTTTCACGGTCAAAAAACCACTCTCCAAACTCCAAAAAAAACGCAGGCCGACCAGGGAGGCTCAGCTGCTCCTGTCCAATCTGGCGCCAACTCGATATATATATATATATATATACATACATACATACTGAGATAAAGAGAGCCCTTACGCCACTCCGAGCCGACTTCCGCGTCGGCGGCTTGGCACCGCTTGGAGCGCCCGGCAGGCGTTGCGGCAGTGCGAGGAAGGCGAGGTCTGCCGCCGCCAGGACCTGACGCCAAGGAGCCCATAGGGAAGTGGGGTGGGGCGGGGTGGGGGTGGGGGGCCCCTCCAGTAAGGAATCCCCAAAGGGACACCCCCTATGAATAGACTGGGGTTGATTAATCTGGGCTCAACATTAATAATTTCCCCACCCTGTGAGCCAAATGGTTCAAAGCCAACTCCCCTCTCGTGGGAGCCATTGGCGTGGGATAGCGCGCGGAGCCGCCACCTTGACCCAAGGCTCCAAACCTCGACCCCCCCACCTTGGAACCGTTCGACGTGGGAAATGGTCCTGGTTTCGACTCATGTTCCCCTTAAAGGGATCCCCAACGTCAGGTTTTATGTGAAAAGGGTGGGATGGCAATTGAACTTGAGTCATCAGAACGTTCACAGCGACCAAAGCCATGGTCTCAACACGGGAGGAAAACCCCAATGGTGGAAACAAGAACACTGGCATCCAGATGTCTCATGTTTAGCATCTTGTATAATTGAGTGTGTAAAAAAACGGGCCCAACCATAGGTGTCCTTTTAGGGGAAATAGATGGCCCTGATAGATGATTAAACCACCAGGTAAACCAGGGCCATCTATTTCTTTACCAAAACAACCAAAAAGGACACCTATGGGCCCAACAAATGGTGGCCTTCTTCTTGGCTTCCCCTGTGGGCCAACGTGCCAACGTGCCAACATGCCCTTTGGTTGCCCTCGAAAGACGCCCCCTGCCATTGGCGTGTCTTTTTCTGATGGCTTTTTTTCGGGAGGCGGCTTTCGAGGCCTCGAAACCAAAAGGAAACCAACCCATGGTTCTAGGGCTACCTT